ACATTTTCCTTTTCTTTTGGCATATGATTCTCACACGTTTTTTTGCTGTTATTTTTAAAAGAGTTTCTAATGCAGATTCAAATCTTCCAATCTACACAGCAGTATCAGTGTAAAAACATAAACCACTGATTACACTTCCGTTTGGCTCCTTGTCTGGTCTGATGACCAACAGAAAAGCTGAACTCTAAGGAAGTGACATCCCACCTCTAGCCCTCCGCCTTCCTCAGTCTTTTTGTAGAGACTTCAAAAAGGTTTCCTCTCAACTCTTGGCTTCAGAAGAGACTTACTTGTTTTTTTGCCTTTCTACCCACATTCCTTCCCTTTCATTCTGGAGCGTTCCACATATTCTACGCCAGTAGCATCAGTCCTTGATTTATTTTGTACAACTGGCATTATAGATCTGTACTGCCGGCTTTCAGTTACTCATTAACCATAAGTAAGAGCAAAGTTACACAGACTTCGAACAGCAGAAGCTTTCTCTTCATTTTGTAAACCAGAACCAAGCTGTAAATAAAAGGTGACTTCAAAAATAAAATACAGTGAAAATGAGATGTAAATGGTTCGTCTAACAAGGCTGCGGAGTTAGTTTGATCTCCATCCCATCAGTCCTCGCTGCTGGACTGGAACAGTAGCCTGTTTTTTGAGGATGTCCACAATTACTACATAACAACTTTTCACAGTTTTTTAACAATGGGAAAATTAAGCACTTGAAGAATCCATGCCTGCATTCTGTATTGCTATGGTCAATGTTCTGGCCCGCTCCTTTCTAAAGCCAATTTTCATTGGATGTAATGTAACTTTCAGTTAGTAATTATTTTATAATTTTCTCATAGGAACACATTTTCTCACAGAAACAGCTTTCTGAAAGGTGAATTTTCAACCAAAAGCGTTAAGTGAAGTAGATGAAGTGAGGAGTTGTACCAATCAGTTACAAAGTTATTATTAAAAAACGACTATAGAAGATAAATATATACAAGTCCAAAATCTCATGCAGTGTCAGAACACAGAAAAAAATAGTAGGGAAAGGAGAAAGTCATAATTAAGAGCATACGGCATCACAGTCTTGACCAACAAATGATAAGGGAGGCAATGAGGAGGATCAGACCTGGTCAGTCACAGCGACTGCTGAAGGTATGCTGGAGAGTAGTTATTCCAGCAGGGTTTCCTGATGGAGGTGTTGGAAATATCCAAATAATTTCGTTTGCCAACTTTTCCCAGTTCTCCCAGTTATCACAGGCTTACTGAGGAGCTCAGGCACAGGCTGCATGCAGCTCAAGCTATTGACCAATCTCCCTAAGCCCTTCTTTGGCATGCTGCACCACACTTAGAGCCCTGATGGAAAAATACAAGCCAGGCTTAGCCTGGTTACAGCCACCTTCCAAAACACACTGCTGGAGGTAAGGAGAATATTTCTTCTGAAACTTTTACTTTTCTTCCTCCCTCCATTACACAGCCCTCTGCACAGCACTGAAGTATGCATGGCGTATGAATGCAGCTGGCTAGAGTAGACAGTCATGCAGTAGGAGCAGGGAAGATCACAGTTCAAGAAAGGAAATGGAGGTTGGAAATATTTTGGCCTGTCTTGAAGCATGCAGTGCTTCATTCCAGCATTCTGACATATCTGGGGAGTTACTGCTGGGTTCTCAATTAGCATGGCATTTTGCACAGAAGTGTCCTTTTTGCCTGCATTCTATTCTATTTTTCATCTGCAAGCCAATGAATCCCCGGATTTCATCCTTGGAGCTGATCCAGTCATAAATAACCTTCAGTGATTCACATGTTCATCTTTTCCTGAACAACAGTTGCCAGGTTAGACATTAGTCATGTAATGGCAGGAGTATCACTCCCAATCCATTCTTTGAGTACTGATGTCTAGTAGATATCAGTGACTGAGATTAACTCCAGCCTGGGCTCTCCAACAATTAGACATAATCTAAAATTGAACCCAAAGCAACAACAAATCTGGGTTCCACACGGGTTTTAGACCTATTTTAACTGCTACTATTTTTTGCTTTTTTGTGCAATCTTCTACAGCAAAGTGCAGCTGGAAACCTTTGGCATCATGACAGTCACAGAACTATGGCCACAGCAGTGGCTGCACAAGAATTCCTGACTTATAGAGGAGTTTTACAGTGTCCAGACACAAAGTGCAGCGTGGGCACAGGGACAGTGGTAACATCACAGAGCAACAGGTGATGACAGGTTCAAGAGAAGGACTGTGACCACATCACCCTCACTGAGAACCTTTGGGCGTGGGCAGAGCCTGGCCCAGTTTGTTCGTGCCTGGACTCCTGTCGAGCGTGTGTGCGAGGCTTGGAGGTGGAACGAGCGTTTGGTTTGGGTGCTGGGTTGTGCTTTGGGGACTGCGGGCAGCGGCTCTCAGTGCCCATCCCTACAGCCATCACCTGCATTTCCCTGGCCTGTCTGCCTCAGGCAGCCAGGGTCCCACGAGGCGCACGCGTAGCAGCAGAGGTGAGCTGGGTGGAAATGGGGTGAGCGCTGGGATGTGGGGAGCTGCCAGGGCCGAAGCCTGACCCTGAGGGGTGTGGGCGGCCCAGGCATGGGACCAGGAGGGTTTCCTGCCGAGGGACTGGCATATTTCCTCTGCCTGACCCTGGGACAGCGATTGACCGTGGCCTCTCTCCCTTCTTGCAGTGCGCAACTTCCATCACTGTGGTGCTGGTGACGGGGGAGCAGATCCTTGCCTTCAGTCCCCAGCAGGCCACAGCGTGAACATCATGGCAGCTGAGCAGGCATGGATGTGTCCTATCTGCCGTGACGAGCAAAAGGACATGGCCTATGTGGTACCTTGCCGCCACGAGTTCTGCCTGGTCTGCATCCTGCAGTGGGCCAAGCAGAGGAACAGCTGCCCACTCTGCAGGACGGTCATGACTGTCATCAAGGTTGCTGAGTGGGACGATAACGATGACCTGGATTTCGTTATCCAGCCCCCAGCACAGCCTGAACCCGCCAGCTTCCAGGCAGGCATTGCTCCTGCCTACAGCCCCCACAGCTCTTTGCCATCTCCTTCGCTGTCCCCTTTGCCATCCCCTCTGCCCTTTCTGCCGCTGCCAGAGGAGCAGGAGAGTGAGGAGGCAGAAGAGCAGGATGCTCAGGAGGCAGATGAAGAGGGGGCTGAGGAAGCAGCGGAGCAGTGGGCAGAGGAGGAGGACGAGCAGTGGGCAATGGAGGAGGAAGAGCAGTGGGCAATGGAGCAGGAAGAGCAGTGGGCAGAGGCGGTGGAGGAGCAGCGGGCCGAGGAGTCAGATGAAGGGGAGGCAGAGGAGACAGAGCAGCTGCAAGCTGATGAAGCAGACAAACAGGAGGCTGAGGAGGCTGAGGAGGCAGAGGATGAGCCTACAGTGGGAGGTCTCCTGCCTGAGGTCTGGGCAGCTCTGTTCAGGCAGCACCAGCAGATCCTGGACCCTGTGCTGCCCTGGCTGCGGCGAGCGCTGACAGTCATCTTTGGGGCACAGTGGTGGCCGACGCTGCCAACCGAGAGCATCATCCTGAATGCTCTGTGCAAGGTCGGGCTGGACAGCCAGGCCCTGGTCCAGGAGGTGTGGCCTGTCCTGGAGGACAGAGCAGAGGCCCTCATCCAGAGACTCATGGACACCATTGTGTGCCACTGTGGCGAGGAGGCCCTCAGGCAGCTGGGCCTCCAAGGTGCCAACGAGGCCTTGGGAGCAGCAGGACAGCCCTGTGGCCGCTCCGAGCCCCACAGCCTCCCTACGAGCCACCCTCAGCTCACGGCCCGCCAGTCCCAACACGCAGGACCTGCCCAGCGCACCGCAGGCTGTCCTTCATGGCTGCCCCAGTCACTGCCCCACCGCTCACAGCCTGAGGGAACCACGAGGAGACAGAGCGGGGCACAGCGGCTCTTCAGCTCCTCGCCGCTCCCCTGTCGGCGCCCAGCAGCCCCTAAGAGAAGGGCTGACAGTGACGACGACCCAGAGCAGCCCTGCAAGAGGCTGTGCCATCAGCGGCGCTAGCAGCATCTTTAATTAAAAATAAAGGTAGAAAAGATTAGTCCGCAAAGTCTCAGCTTCACTCCAAACGGAGCTGGCGATCCACGCGCGCAGTGCTGCATCCTGCCCCTCAGCCAACCATCACCACCAGACCGTCATGTTTGTACAACTTATTCTGTTTCGTCCTTACGGATCACAGACATCAACATTGCAGAAAGAAAGATAAAGCCAGCACAAAAAGTTTGTGCAGATCAGCTCCTGCCTACCAATGTGCTCCACCCATCTTGAAAATCACAGGGCTTTTACTGTTTCATCTTTCAAATCAGAAACTTAAAAAAGAATCACTGCTAGAAAAATGGGGGAAAAAGCAAGGAGACAGAGAGTAAAAAGAAAGTACTGGTGTGGTAAGCCTCTCATTTAACTAATTCTCCAAAAGTCTCTCTTGTAGTACAGTCCAGACCATAAAGAGATTGGCTGAACTTAACACAAAGGCAACATTTCCCCCAAAAGCTGGAGATAATATGGAAACTCAGTCTTTTTTGAACTTGTCTAACTTAGCTGCGCAGCATCATGTAGGAAAGTATTCCTTCTATTTACCTTCATAGACAAATGCATTTTCTAGTATCAAATGTAAAGACAAAATCAAATGGGCTTAGCAAGCAAGAAATCCACAATGGATTTAGCTTAAATATATGCCCCAGAAGTATGTATAGGAATCATAATTTCTCAATTCTGTAAGTATAACTACTATCTTTTTACTGCTTTTTATTCCTGTCAGTTTTGAGCAGCCATGGCAGATGGGGAAGAGGCTGAAGTTTTTTATGTCTGGCACATCAGTCTTGTTTCTTATTAGGGATTTTGGTTACCTCACGTTTTGATGTTTCTGGGCAATGGATCAGAGCTTAGCTGAGATCTGTTATGCTTTTTTCAGAGTACCAGAATTGGATAAAATCACAAACTGACTGGGAGAAAACACAACTGAGTGGGAGACATGTATGAAGTAGAATAACTACAAAGGTAAAGAAGACATACCTTCTGCAAAAAGTGACATCATATTTGTGCTTTTGTTGGCGACCACGTTGTTCAGTAAGGCGACTGCAGTTTGCATTGTATTCCCTAGTATATTGTCTTGGTGTTCCTGTAATTAAAAATAAAAAAAAACCTAGTATTTATTCTGAAAGGTTAGTAAAAGACTGCTTACTTCTAAAAATGTAGTAACATAAAAGCATTACTCTCTAAATCCCTTGAGTTTCAATGTTTAAAATACCAGAAAACTTAAAAATATCAACCAAATATAGCCAAATATAAAAAAACTTGGGCCAAAACTTTTTCCTTTTAATCAGAAGAATTCATAGTTAGGTGTAAAATGTTAGGACTTCTAAAAATACTATCGAGTCTTATCAGTCTCTAATCTCTATATATTCAGAACCAGGAACATTTCCCTTTATACAACATCACTTCTAGTAATAGTATTAACATTACTCTTATCAGTTTCAGCTCAATAACCGATAATAAGTCATAGTCAACCTTTATCTCTGTTTGTACAGTCATAAGTATAAAATCAATTCCATATACATATCAGGCGTCTATTTCTATATCAAGGTCAGGCTGGATGGGGTGTGAGCACCCTGATCTTGCTGTAGGTGCCCCTGTTCATTGTAGAGGTGTTGGACTGAATGGTCTTCAAGGGTCTCTTCCAACTCAAAAGATTCTACAATTCTATGATTCTTTTGCTGCTGTTGGACTTAACACACCTGCACACTTAGTTTGAAAGGAGTGGATAAGGCAGTGAGAACAAAACATTTATTTACTCATGCTAGTCACCGTAATAACTCATATAGCTTCCAAATACCCAAAATAGGACAAGTTTTTACAAATCTGAGTCTAGATATAAATATCAACCTGAATGGATTTCATGTCTCTACAGGGGGCTCAGGAAACACTGGATCCAATTTTTTCAGACTAAAATCTTAGTAGAAGCACACATCCAAAGTGAAAATAATATTAATAAAAAGTCCTATTTCACATATTACAGCTTTTTCACATGAATCTTCACTTCCAGGCTTCCCTGTCCCGTTAAATTTCTCAATATACTGACATTACTTGACTACTTCACTGCCACAGAACATGCTGTATCTTCTGAGCCATTTCCTGAAGCAGCTCTTTGAAAAAAAGCTCAAATTTGAAGTTGAACAAGACAGAAGATTATTGATCTAAAGTTCAGTGAAGTATCTCTAATGCCAAAAGTGACTTCAGTCCTTGAATACAGTTGAACAAACCTCCTCCCTGAAAGTTTCTTTAGAAGATGAATGCCAGTGGCCAGGAACAGTTTATTTTCTGCAGCTCTCTGCTCAGGTATTTATGACCTTCTGTCTCCGATATATTCTTGAAAACAGCAGCAATTTATTCTTTGGGAAAATGGTATTGATCATCTAAGTGCCATAGCTTCCGCAGAATTAGCCTGACTGTCAGCCATCAGCAATCACAAGTAACATGTTTTACTACTCTTCCAAGAATTCACACCAAGTCAACTTACGAATGACTTTCAGAGTGATATCTCTGGTTTTAAAAGTCACTTTCTACATTGGGTCAGGACTCAGCAACAGCACCGCATTTAGGAAAAGCCATGCTACCCAAATCCCTACCTGTGGCTGTAAGAAATGTTTAAGCAAGAATCTCCTGAGTTTTCTTTCTTTCCCAGTCTGATGAAATTTAGGATACCGTAAAGTGTGTATTCAGTGCCTCTTCAGAAAGTACTGTTACAGTGGTAGAAAGGGTCATGCTATGGGAAAAACAAATGCTTTCCTTTAAACATTTACCAGTCGAAGGATTTTTTTTATAGGCAGAGACTCAGACATCTGCTTTGAGGGAATTAATTTCTGTTATTGCACTCCAAAACTAAAACCAAATGCTATTATGTACTATAAATACCACGAAACATATGTGATAAGGTGTAGTGTATTAAAGCATGAAGAAATATAGAAGCATTCCCAGCCTACTATTCAACTTAAGGCCCTAGGAATTTTCTGCTTCTAGAGCTCTTCAAATGTATCATGAGAAATGATGAGGAAGAGTGCAGTTTTCTACCAAACACTAAAACAATATGAATATCTGAAGTTCTATTCACTTTACGTAGCACTCCGACACATCATTAATGACTTCTATATCCCTATCAATGTTTAAAACACAGCCAGATACATTTAAAAGCTATGTTGGAAAGTATAAACACCACATTCTTCAGAAGATAAGTCTGGAAAATAGAAAAGAGATACCATAAAGTCATAATACTAAAAATAAATTTGAAGTTATTGCTTACAGATAGCTGAAGGGTAAGAAAAACATTTATTGGAAAGACCAACATGTTCATCTAGCATCAGAGTATCTTCTTAACTCTCAAAAAGGACATTTGGAATACAATGCCTTTCACAGATGCAACAAAATCAGTTGGTGTTGTACAAGATAATTATACACACATACATTGAAAATACAAAATTAATAAAAACAAAATACTCTAGAAGTGCCAAAATAAGAGATGACTCATACTTTCCTTGCAAGTATTTGCTACTGCTTCATATATTTCTGAAGTAAACATCTTCTAGTAGAATTCCCCTTTGAAATATGCAATTATAATAAAAGTTGGTAGTTGTTTGTGATAGCAATCTTTTGCATTTATCAGGTGACTCCTGTTAAAATGAAGCCAACGTTGCTTTAAGTGAAGATCAATTACACTACACAACCCTCTAGTGAAAGACTGATACTGAAGCTGTTACTTGTACTAAAGTAGGTGCAACAAAAACCTACATTACCCTCAATACATACAGACTAGAATTCAAGATGGAAATGTATATTGTGAAAACAAAACAGTCACTTACTGAATAATCTTATAACAAGTGTACTCAGCTGGAATACTAGAGTTTTAATGTATGTATCACAGATACACTGTGACAAGATACCGGGTTTCAAGAAGCTACAGGTATGCTTTACTTAAGTTGTCACTGATTGCTGATAGAGTAGATTTTAGAATATAAAAAAAATATATGTAACTTGTTCATAATCTATCAAGGAGCAAAGCTGATCTAATTTGTGTGCACAGCACCACAGACTGGATATTTAATGAACAGTGCACTTGACAGCTTTAATAAAACATAGCATTTGCCAGCAGAGATAATTAGAATTGAAGAAGCGAAATTCTAGTGTTTGGCAACACAGATGAAACAACTTCATTAAAATGTACAGCTTCAGCAAATGAAAGGCAGGAAAGCACTGGACCCTGAAGAATCAGCCTTCTCAAAACTAATTGCTTCAGTGCTTAAAAAGGACAGCTATAAAATATCAAGGGCACAACAAGGAAATACTAGTATAAAGAAAGAACCACAGAAGATAAATCAGGCTTTTCAAATGGGACTGCGCTGTATTTAGGCCATTAAACTTTTCATTCTCATTTTGAAGGGTTGCATGTTAACAAAAGACATAAGTTGAAGTATTTTTTAAAGTCAGTTAGGTAAGAGGGTATGAATTAGCAAGGTGGGAGTATGAAACTAAGATACTATAGTCTAAAGCTACTGCTTCTCTTTCTTTAGTATATTAGGGCAGCTTAGGTAGACTATGGTATTTTAATTACATTTTGGATAAAAGATCAGATAGCAACTGTGGTAAGAAGTTACCAATTTGTGAGACTTCACATACCTGTCTCCAACTCATTTAACTAAGAATCTAAAAAAACAAAGGCTCTAAATGCTACTTTTGCAGATATGCTGTAATTAAATGTAAGTGTTCCACAGCAGCACTGTTCATTCAGTGTAATCAGAATGATTAACTGTACAGGGACTCTCCTTCCCAAGCTTATATATGAGCTACGAACGTGAGTTAGGAAGAAAAGAGGACATAACAAGGAGGAGGTTTGATTTTCATACAGGAAATCCATTGAAAGATGAAAATTACAGAAGTGAACCACAGCCTAGCTACATTTACTAAACGATACAATTTTTACTTGATGGTTGACTGATCATTGTTGATGCTCACGAGGACATCACAAGGAGCACAACTTAATACTGCATTCAACCCAGATTACTATGATACAGTGCATTATTTTGTATGCATGAAATAGAGGATCAAAAACTTTTCTGCATGTAACAGTGGTACCAATCTTTAGGAAAGCAGTATTATTAGCACGTAGCCTACAAGGGACATTTACAGTAGCCTACGTACTGTTCTTTAGACAAAAACAAAGTTCACTGAGAAACAAATTTAAAGCAGCTATGAACAGACTGAACAGGCCTTAAACGTTTTGTGACTTATGATGCAAAGACCAGTCAGTGCATTAGCTGAAAGCATTTAAGTACAGATCTCTAATTTTAACCCAGCACTATTTTGCTTTTTCATGATAAAAGTCAGGAAAAACAAAACAACAACAAAAACAAAAACAGTCTAAAATAGATATCTCTCTTGTGATCATGCTTTTCAAAAAACAGCCTTGCTCAAGGGTAGTTTTTACAGAACCGGCATTCCTAAATCTTTTGCTATGACATGCCATAAGGAGCTACTACAGAGCTAGCAAACAATTTCTGGAATAACCATGCTTCTTGGACGGGTCACAACAGTGATATGTTCAGTCCACACCTGTAGATGAGAAATCTTGTAACTTTCAAAAAGAATGCTGCTTAAATACTGAAAAAAATAAAAACTGTACTCTTAGTCACCAAGTGCTTAAGGAGAGTTGGTTGGGGACAGGGTAACAGGAATAATTTTTAAGAAGTGAAGGACATAGGAGGCCACTAATAAAATCCCACAGTGTCAAGTATCAGCAAACAGAAAGAGATGGCCATAGAATTTGCTCTCCCACCCATTGCAGCAGGTGATATAAAAATACACAATATTTTTTCAGAAGTATATCAATGTACTACTATGTTATCTTACACAGGTTCAGATTTTCAGACATCTAACAATCTTTTTTTTTTCTTTTTCTAATTCTGAAACTCATTTCTTGCCTCCTTTTCATCTCCCCAAGTTCCTTGTTATCTTGGAGACAAACATGCAATTCTTCTGCACTAATGGTCAGAACTTCACGAGGCGTAAGGAGGAAAGGTGATATTTAAACAAACAGAGCTATAAGGAATGTTGCCTCTGTGGAATGAAAAG